AAATTCTAGATTTTAAGCTTTGTATTTCGAATTAAATGTATTTAGAAGAGAGTGGAAAATAAAACGGAATGTAAAAGGATTTCAAGCATATACAGTCAGATCTTAGGTGAATACGAAAAACTTAAGTAAATCTAATTTGTGTAATAGTATCGCCGCGAAGTATAACTAAGCTCTCTACACTGTTGACAGATCCATATGATATCTGCATAGTACTACTCTTAAAACGATACGTGTTAAACGTTTACAGGGGTTTTAGTGACTTCAGTCTTGCAATTTTGAAAAGAACGGATTAAAAAGAATTTCTTGTCTTGTTTAATCATTGTTCTTTGATAGAAAAAAATGCCGCTGAAGCCAAACAATGGTTTGACACGCATTATGGGGGCTCTGCATCAGAGACCTCAACTATTATTCACTGATGGGCTGAATTTGAACAAAATCGTTTTGGAAGACCGAAAACTAAAGCTGCGTCCGATAACTAGCACCTTATAAAAATGAAAAAGCATTATATTTACTATTTTGCAGTAATAGTTGTTCATGACAAAACTCTAAACGACGAGGATGCGGCGCGTTTGTTCTTATCGGACCAAAAACAACACCATCCATCGACGAATTCAAGCGCTGTTTAGAACCGACTCAGCAAAACAAAAACCATTTCTGACTTGAGACGGATGAAACACACGTTCGCTATTGCACACCTGAACCAAAGAGATAGTCAGCTGAATGGATAGCAGCCGACGAAACTCATTGAAAGCGGTCAAAAATGCAAAAGTCACCTGGCAAGCTTATGCCATTCGTATTTTGGGACGTGCATGATATTTTTCTCACCAATAAAGGATAAATAGCAAATGCTTGGCCTTATTGGATTGATTGAATTTAGAAATCGAGAAAAAAATAATAAAAAATAAGAAAAAAATTCTCTTTCCCCAAAACAATGGCCCCACCCGCCACATTCTCCATATCTGCAGACATCAAAAAGATGCTCCAGGGAAAAATGGTTAAATGAAGAAGCGATTGACAGCAAAGGCAAATCGTTCTACAAAAAAGCCATCGAAAATTTATGGGAGCGTTGGAATGAAGGTATCACTCTCAAAAGAGAATATGTGGATCAAGTAAGTTGAATTTCCAGAAAGAAAATGTGTTTTTCTTAGTTAAATTGGAGACTTATGTACTCGATGCTATAAATCTTTGCATTTCAAATCTTGCTTTTACTTTAAAAATATCAATATCCGCCTGAGTAGCCGAGTAGGGAAGAGCCTCGACTACCAAGTCAATAGTCGTGGGCTCAAATCTCAAGTGCGCTAGAGTTTTTAATGAAGCCGAAAGCCTTAGACTGCTAGTGCTTTTAGTCTTTAGACTTTAGTCTTGGAATTGATTCTCTGACTAAATTTATAATAATAATAATAATAATAATAATAAAAATATCAAAAGCGAGCAGGTGTAGAAATGGTTAGAAATTGTATTGGGGATCAAGAAGTTATATATTGTCAAAAGAAAAGTACCACGAACGAGCAAAAATAAAACATATATTTCCCCGCATAGAAAACAATACTTTTGTCAATACAAGTCCCTTGTCCGGAAGGTACTTTAAACAGGCAAAAGAATAGAATTCGATTTATTTGACGCTTTAGTAAACCAAACTTTTAGACGTTTTCTTTGTATTGGCGAAGAGTCGAAAATTAAAATTGTTATCTTTAAAGAGCTGTGGGCGGTTAAGCTTACGATGCTAATTATGTTTGTCAAGCTTTTATGAAAAGATTAGCCTTAACTGCCCGTTTGAAATTGTAGATAACCGTATCGATTAGAGAGCAATTTAGGCGATAGCAATAAGACAGTAGGAACAGCAAGAGGGGGCAAGCGCGCTTCACACGTAATTTTTGTAAAAGAGTGTTAAGTAATTTGATGGGACTGTTTTAACTGAGAGCGCTTGAGTGTTTTACGTTTGACTTGAGTTCAACTCGATTGCTTTTTTACACGTAGGTCAAGTCAAATTTACAAGAGACACATTAAGGGTAGAAAACGAGTCATCCAGCGAACGCGGAGAGAGCTGTGTTTTACACGTGCTACGCTTATATTTAGAGAATAATGTAATTATATATGTATGCAGTTTTTGGGAATTTTCCATTCGTTATTTGCTTTGTTTTACTACAATTTAACGCGTTTGCATAATTTGTGCCGCGTACGTGACAAACGCAAAATGAATTCTTTATTATTGCAATTGAAAAATTTCCTTTGACACACAATGCAAAGTTAAGTTTAACATAAATTATTAAAATAAAGTATCGAAGTGCGAGATGCGAGTTCAGCCGCAACGCGAGCTTCACTATTAAATGCTCCTTGAGATTATTTAAACTTGTCGTTACATTAGTTTTATTGTTTGTCATTTGTACCGTTCAGAACGAGTATTGGGACTCTTTAACGTATTATTGAAGGTTGGTTTGCTTTCAAAAACCTTCTGAATCCGGTAACTGCAGGTATTATGGGAATTTGAAATAATGTCATCTATAGCTTACTACGTGTAAAGCAAATTTTATCAGTTACTAAAATCCTTTAGGTCTGTAGATTAGAAAGAACGTATTGATTAACTTGAGATAAATTTTATCGCGTCCTAATTCCGTAGCCTTTCCACATGCCATTCGAAACATCTTATGCCTTTTAAGCCATTAAAAGTATATGAAGCGCGAAATAATCTTTCAATAAACGATCGGCCTCTTCACAATTATAAAGTGTAGGTTGGAACAGAGCCAAATATTACATACGAAACACCTTACTTCTTTCACAACTTCAAAGAGGAAGCTCCTATTTCAGTGGCCGCATGAAACAGCTACTAAACCTACATTAAAGTCCTCAACCTATTACTGCAAGAACGGGACTACTGGAATTAATTTTGAACAGTGTTGCGACCTGTAAGAACGGTGTGTGGACTTTAGGAGGGCCATCTTCTACTATTTCTGTGGCATAGAACTGAAAAGTACAACTCGTACCTATTTTTCTGTCCTTTAAGCTTAAAGACTCATTCTGAGCAACGGCAATAGCGAAGTGACAAGTGATAGGAACGCAATTGATATCAAAGAACTTTACCATGAAAATAATTTTTTCTCATAACTAGTGATCGGTCACAGTGCCAGAATATTGCTGTGAATGATATTATGTACTTCTAAAACTTCGTCATTCTTTCTGCCTTAGAAACTCGATTTAAATTTGTTTTTTTTTTTTTTGTCGCAACTATCGGTAATGATTTAGTGGCGATGATTCACTGTAGTCTTTTTGTTTTTTTTTTTTCTTAAACGACTGTCTGCAGCTGACCTTTTGTCACGTTAAAATAGTAGTGTTCTCAACTCCTCAACTTGCAAAAGTGCAACGGACCGGAAGTTGGAAATCAAAGCTCTGTACTCTGTCTACTTACAGTTAAAGTTAATTTTAATTATTCATCAATAAATTATTCTCCCTTGTTTATTTTATTTAAATTATTTTTCGTTAACTAATTTATTCATTCATTAACTCACAACAAAGTTCGTTCAACTGTCTAATGCATAAAATTGCCTTAGACAAACAAATCGTATTTTTGTTTAGTTTTCATAATTATTTTGTTATTTCGCCGATACGACCAGGTTTTGCCATTACCTTAGCAAGGGCGCGAACCAAGTGTGAAGATAGCCCAGCTTTCAGCAAAAGCAAAAATGTGGGCTAAGCACGGTGGGCCAACTATACGGCAGAAATTTATTTAGTTCATTTGGCATACACACACACGCACACGATAAGCAAAAAAGCCAAAAATAATTGAAACTAAATGTAACCACTGAGCATAGAAATAATGATTTTTGACGAAAATTAAATAGGGGTTAAAAGATGATTACTTCCACTCGAAAACTCAAGCTTCCGCTACTCAACTATCTAATACATTAGCCAATCAGTTCCGGGACTAAATAAGACAATTTGTTTGCGAAATTCGACTTTATTTTAAGACTTAGGAGTGATGGAATCGCTTTAATGCTTCTCTAACAATTCAATATGTTTGTGAAGAGCACTAGAATGTACTCCAGGTTATGTAATAATCTTATTATTTAATGCAAATATTTTTCCTTCTCCTCTGCCTCCCAAGCAGAAGGTGTAGCATCAATCCAAAGTTTAAATCAGACAATTTTGGCGTTCCCTGCAGTTAAATGCGGAACACATTTGTAAGATGTTCGTGCAAAATAGTGAACGGATTATCGTTTGATATCCATAAGAAGGGAGCTATCTGTTACAACCTCATTTCTCTATTATCGACAATAACTTTCAGAATTTCCTTAATGTTTTCTAATTCTCTCTTTGGATTATCCGCCGCGTTCAGGATGATTGGTGTTCGCACGACCTTTTTAAAATCAGCAAGTCGCTCAAAAATTGTCCTTTTCGACAAAGAAGGGCTGCCACGATATTTTCAATCCATTACTGAATTTTAACTGAGTTTCAAAATAAACTTTTCTCTCTTAACCTTTTCTGGTCTATCATTCTTTATTCATTCTTAAATAACGTAGCGCGGCCATTAAAACTAATAAACGGTGCTTCCCCGTAATCCCATCTTATCTTATTGCGTGAGTAATTACCGATTGGTTTGTTAATAAAAGCCAGCCAACCGTTGTTCTACTAACCACTACTGTGAATCATCATCATCAGAAGAAGAATGCGATGAGGACAAAGAAACATCTATTATTGTACATATTCATAAATAAATAACTTGTAAGTCCCCTTTGCAGACAGTGGGCTTTTCTAAGAAGAAAACCTAACGTAAGGAATTTGTCGCTTCGAATAATTTGTGTTTAGATCAAAATAGTAAGGGAGTCGTAGCTTGATTTGCTTTATGTAGAGTAACTAACTGGCTTGATAAGTATTGAAAGTTTTTCACTATCACATCTAGAAGAACAAGCATTGCAACTAACTCTATTGAATCCCCTTACGCCAAAGTGTATTTGGAGTTTCGGTATTTGCAAGTATGAGTAGGTTGTGAACCAATTTCTAGTAAGAAACTTTCAAGTTTTTCCTATTAATCTTGAAAATCTTTGGTAAGTAGTATGAAATGAGAAAATGGGTTTACATTGTTAGTTTAGACCCGTTTATTACTAGTCGATACCAGGCTAGACTTTTTATGCACAGGAGTGAAAGCAAATGAACGATAGAAATCCTATCATATAAGTAATATCGGAAAGTTGAACACTTCAATAAAACTTCAGTAGCAACATAGAAAGGGTCGAGATCTAACGTTTTCGGGCAATAGGTAGGTCTACGTACGAGTACAGGTAATATTTCCAATCTTCCCCATAATCGCAATACGTGAAAAGCTCTTTGTATTTATGGATATCGAAGAATTGTCATAAAGCAAACAAAATTCTTTTATGGATTATCGAAGTCTTTTTTTCCACTGTCATTGCACACGCAATCAGCGGCGTAAGATTTTCGCACTTTTGGGTCATATATAAATACTGTCGACTGTAAAGCTTTCAGTTCAATATCGTGAAAGAATTGTGTAGGCAAACGTCGGGAAATAAGTTGAAAAAAAATTTGTAACAAATCTCTTATATATAATACCTAACAAGTAAAAAAAAAGAAATGTTCGGTTCAGCGTCATCCAATTCTAACGGTGGTTTGGATGTAAACTTAGGATGTGGAAAAAGTGTCGGTGACGATGCAAGCAATGTTGGTGCCGGGATATTTGCAGCTGGGAATACTCTTGGTGGTCCAGCAACCACCGGACTATTTTTGGAAGCCAACACGTGAGCTTTCGTATAATATTTTTTATTAATGCCATTATTGAAGAAATGAACACGATCTCATTGACTCTTCAATTTAGAAACAATCATGGAGTCTCGCTGAAACATTCCAATACGGAAAAACTCGGTTCCACTTTAACAACAAGTGCTCACGCCAATCTTTTGAAGACGGACACTATTCATCTAAATGCCAATGCTTTCCATAGTCGTACGCATTTGGACAATGGTTTCAAGTTTGATCGTGTTGGCGGCGGTTTGACCTGTAGTCATGGTAATGGTCATGGTGCTGCTTTGACTGGTTCTCAGATACCACAACTTGGTATGAAGACGTTAGATATAACAGGCAAAGCTAATTTATGGTCATCACCAAATCGTGCGACCACTTTGGATGTAACGGGGGGAGTATCAAAACATTTTGGCGGGCCGTTTAATGGTCAAACTGATAAAAAAATTGGCTTCGGTCTAAACACTAACTTTTAAACATTTTAAATAATCTTTATAAAGGTTACATAAGGCTTGTGAATAAATATTTAAGCTAATGGAACCCTTTACGCAAGCGAAATGCTTTCAACTCTGTTAAGATCGCTCACTGAATTCAGGGACATTTTGCGCAAATCTTCGCAAATTGATTAATAAAGCGATTACAAAGGGTGTTTTTCATTCTTTGCGCAACAACAAATTTGTTTTATATGTCATCAATTATGACGAAACACAAATAGTAACAAGATTTTTTAATTCCATTGACAGCTTCAAGCTGTCACGAACGGTTAACTGGCTACGATTACATCAAGGTATAACTGTATAGTCGAGCACGGCCCACTCGCCCAGTATCTTACAGCGTTTTTGGGGGAAACGGTCATAAGAATGGTACGATCCGAAGAAAAAAGGGAACAAGACCTACATGGATAGAATTATTAGAGGCAAGCACGGGGCACACGAGCTTAAGTTAATCAATGATAGGTTTATTTAAACTGGTTCTGGTTGTCGCATACATCCACATCAAGTGACGTAGAGTATAAAAAAATAAGGTAGTAGCTTTACACGACAATGACCATAAGTAAGAGGAGATTCTTCATTGTCCGGAAACTTTCAAAAGGTTTCGTATGTGTCGTTCACGAACAATTTCAAAAATGGAAAGAGCACTTCATAGCTGTAGTGCTTCATTTTATCGGAAGAGTAAAGTTTCCGACCAAGAAGCTTCATCGATTTTGATTTTTTCAAACTTGTGATCACTTATGGAACTGCGTTTAAGAAACTTAGATCTAACTCACCATCTCACCACCAAAATCGTCGCTATCAATGACAACTGATACTATTTCGCCGATTATTCAGTCGTAATAATAAATAGCTGGAACATGCGAAAGGGCATTGCAGGTAAATTTTTCATCACGATGGCACTTAAGCTGATATTGTCAAACTTTTGAAAGAAGCCTTAGCAACGCTGGTTTAGAAATTTTGCGAGACCTTTCGCGAGATGAAGTCCAAAAATCACCTGAATCGATCCACAAATGAAGTATAATTTCGATCTATTCCTTGTCATAAGAACAACAGAGAAGGCGTGAAACAGACCGTTTGTTTTGGAATCAAAGTGTTTACTTTTTTTCCTTATTTTGATCGAAGAACTATCAGAGATATAAAAGCTTAAAAATTATTTTCCTTTTATATCACACAACATCACGTTTACGTATGCGAGAAGCTGTTCTTTACGCAGTATGTAGCGTTCGCATTAGTAATTTACATTTCTCATGGGTACACGCAACAAAAGTATGCAACCGCTCGGAATAGTGCATAGCCATAAAAATGCAATTTTCCTTACGGCAACGAAATGCATTTTCTGCGCGACAAACACAAAAATTAGTGGCTAACGATGGACAATATTTTGAAAGCATAATTTTTATACTCTACACAGCACTTGTTGTACAATGTTGTATATCAAATTTGTGCGGATTCAGAGTTCCTTTCGGTTCGTTCGTCTTGTTTTTTTCGCGTCCAATTTTTAGATCGCAATTTTTGAAACTTGTTTGCTAGACCGACGTGTCTGGGCCCAATAACGAGCGCTATTGAAAATGGTTCGGATCGGAACAGTTTCTCGACCAATACATATATAACGCGTTATTTTAAAAAGTCATTATATGATTAATTGCATCGCGTAAAGTGGTATTTAATGGTGGACTGTGGCCTACTAGTGTTTTTATATTTCTTCATTTTTATTTATTTATTCTTTTTTTGGGAATAATTTTAGAAAATTTTTTTGCTTCCTCTAGAATCTCGAAAAGTCTTTGGTCTTTGATTCTTATTCTTATTGTTAATTATCTTAAACATTTGTTTTATACAAAAAAAGAATTCATGTAATTTGAAATGCTTAACAAGATTTAATTAACTAAAGAAGCTTAAGGTACAAATATAATTTGTAGAAAATTACTGTGAAATCAGTAAGTTACTTGAAATGCCAAGAGAAGATTGTATTCAACTTAAGACGAATGTTAAATAATCGTCATCTCAATAATCGTAAACATTTTTTCATTAGTTATGCGCGATGAAAAAACTACACGACGAAACGACTACTACGGAATGATTATTTTGCAGAATCGCTGAAGAGCTCTGTTAAGTATTCTTCTCGAATCCTAAAGCGATAGGCATTATGTGTAGTGAGATGGGTGCCCTCATCCCGTTTTTGTTTGCTTAATATGATTAAATCAACCTTAACTTCTAGTAAAAGGTCCTTCAAAACTTCAAAATTGTGAATTGCAAACGCGTGGCAGCGTTCTTGAATCTTGCAGCCATCGTTATTTCCTCTAACATAATCGCCGTTACGGCCGATTAGAGCGAGTCTAACTACAGGCGAAGAGTAATGCCAGCTCTAATGATGCGGTCTCTAATGAGTTAGTAAAACGACTTTGCCATCGCTGATCTCGCTGATACACAGTAAGAATGTTATGTCCACCCATAGTGGACACCGAAAGTTTCTCCACCTGTTGCATCTTCGTCTGCGTTTTTCTACCCCACAATGAAATGTTATCTTTTAAGTAAATGCAGCAAGACGAATCAGAGGCTTTTGCTTTCTTTATTTTCGTTGTGTCATGGGTGGGTTTCGTTTGCTCAGCTCATGGGAAAAGTGCTTGCTCGATATGCATTGCGATAAATTGATCGGCCCAATCATTAGCAGTGTCGCTGTTACTAGAAATTCATTCGACATATTCTTAACCTCAATAGTAAATATTGTTAACAAAATGTCCTTTGATTTAATAGCAAGGCATTCCAGGCATTCGAGATGTTCTGCAAACTAGTCATTTAGCCTTTCTGCCCACTCAGCTTATGGCTTTTGAATGACATTCTTTCTGACTGTTTATATAAAAATGTAGTTCGTCGAAGAAGTCAATTATCGTCCTCTTTAAAGCAATATAGAGACTTTTGATTTTTTTTTTTTTTTTTGACAAAACTGCGCGCCTTACGAGAGCAAATAAATAAAACATGTTTGACTTTTCGTTGTTAGGCGATCGTCAATTCGCAAGTTCACTGTATAAAATGAAAATCGCCAACATAATTGCAGCTAATGATTAGAGAAACTGGTTGAACTTGGATCTGCTAATATAATAACAGCAGCGAATACTTGAATAAATTAATATTTTTATTACAATCTTAAACTCTCGCGTTTGCAACTATGCCAGAGTTAGATGCAAAACCAGTTTAGTATTCCCAGCTATTTAAATGAATTTCAAGAGATGTTGAAAGAGAATTCAATTTTTAAAGAGAAAGGATAGCATGCCGTGCTTATAATTTATGCTGGGTATCTGAAAAAGAGTCACGTATTCATTGCCAATAGCATTGTCAAAGTCTTCAGCTACCACAACACATAAGTGTATCATAATAATGTGAAAGCTTCGCTATGCAACAAAAACTGGTTTCGGCTTGTAAGGAGAAACTTTAGTCAGTTAATTGCCTAGTCAATTAGTCAGGTAGTCAATCTGTCGGGTAGCTGGCCAGCCAGCCAGCCAGCCAGCCAGCCAGCCAGTAAGTAAGTCGAGCAAACACAATAAATGAATAGATGAGCGAATGAATCTTGTTGGTTAAGCTGGTAAAGCAAACAGGCCAAGAAATAGCAACAATTTGTTAAACACCTCAGTATGAGAGGAACGTTGGTAGAGTGCGCGTGTGACATACCAATAAAAGCGGTATCAGTATAAGGAAAAACAATAAACGTTTATTTCATTTGATAGACAAGGAGCACTTTCGGAAATACACACAAGTTGAAGAAAAGAAAGTTTGTGCAAAACTTTTTTTGCCGTTTGCCATTTGCCGTTGTGACTGTGGACTGCATTCCTACATACCATTAACGTTGTTTAAAAGCGGCAGCATTTCCAATTTCTCTTAATATCTTTCATTTTTTTTTTTTTTTTTTTTTTGCTTTGATTATGGATAATTTCGATGTGGACAACGATCGAGATCAAATAAAACGTCTGTGTTTTGAGGGTGCCTGGGCTTGGTTTTTGGAAATTTGCTTTTGGTGTTGCGTGATTGCTTTCGTTATGTATTTGCTAAGACGTGTATTTGAAGGACCGTTTTATAGGCGTACGAACCGCATAGATGGCAAAGTGGTTATTGTTACCGGTTGCAATACGGGTATAGGTAAGGAGACCGCGTTAGAGTTAGCAAGACGTGGCGCCCGCTTATACATGGCTTGCCGGGATGCCGCCCGTTGTGAGGCCGCGCGCCTGGAAATTATTGAACGCACTCAGAATCCGAACGTGTTTAATCGTACGTTGGATTTGGCCAGCCTATCATCGGTACGGCAGTTTGCTGAACGCTTTTTAGCCGAAGAAGATCGCCTCGATATTCTTATTAATAACGCTGGAGTTATGGCCACGCCACGTAAACTAACTGTTGATGGTTTTGAGCAACAACTGGGCATTAATCATTTAGGTCACTTTCTATTAACTAATTTGCTGTTGGATCGTTTAAAAAAATCTGCTCCCAGTCGAATTGTGGTGGTTAGCTCGGCTGCTTATATGTTTGGTCGTATAAACAAAAACGATTTGAATAGTGAAAAGAAATATTGGCCGTTTTTCGGAGCCTATGCCCAATCAAAATTAGCCAATATACTATTCACTCGAAAATTGGCCGAACTACTAAAGGATACTAGTGTCACTGCAAATTGCTTGCATCCCGGCATCGTGCGCACCGAACTGATGCGTTACAACAACTGTTTGAGCTTTTTGAAAACAATATTTCATTTAATTACACGATCGCCGAAAGCAGGAGCTCAAACAACTTTATATTTGGCTTTGGATCCAAAATTTGATACCCTTTCAGGCGGTTATTATGAATACATGTTGCGTTTGCCCTTATTACCGTGGGCTCGTAATAAAGAAACGGCTAATTGGTTATGGGAAGAAAGTGAAAAGATGGTCGGGCTGAAGCATAATGATGATGGGAGTAAACTGACAAACATTACAACTGTACAAGTTATTAAAGACGAACAATAAATTACTGTTCCAAAGTGATTTAACAGAGTTGAGCAAATGGACAAAGAGCTTAGAATAGATAACGATATTATATAAACAAATAAAGAAAAAAAAAAAAGAAAAAAAAAAAAACTAGGTAACGCTATTTATTTTATCCTTTCAATAGATATTAGTTGAGGTGTATTATTTTAATGTAAACTTAAAAAAAATATTTTTATGAGATTATTTTATTTAAATAAAAATAATTTTATTTAATAATGAAAATAAATCGAAGAGCATTTCATATTTACTTAATATCATTCACTAAACTATTGAAAAGATCCAAAACAATAAAATTGATTAGTTTACCAAGAATACAAATACGTAAAGCGTAATATGCGATTAACTAATATATAATTTATAATTAAATGGATAAAGCTTTAAAATATTTTTAAAGAGACCAAAAGCTTCCTAAGCTCAAATCTAATGGTTATATGATGGTTATATGAATTCGCGCAAACTATTCACGCGTACATGTCAACCATTACATCATTTCGTGCTTAGAAATTGTGTCTTAAAGAAAACTACATTATCAGAAAAAGAAAACGTGCGCGTGAAAGTCCGGCAAGTTTTTAGAAGCATCGAGGAAATTTAATGGGAATGTAGTGCCTAGAGAAGAATAATTCATTAAATAAAAATGAGTGATTAATGTCTCTCTTCCCCAGCTTATACAAAATGATTATTCCTAGCACGTGCCTTCCTTTCCCAAGCGGAGGTAAATCAATTAATTTTTAACGATTTTCAACGATAGAGCGAACAAGGTAAGAGCAACGCAAGGCAAAAAAATGAAACTAGTTTTGTGCTGATTTGTTGCAGTACAGCGGTGTATTAAGCTTGTGTGGACGCATGTAACAACCAGAAAAACTAGAGATAGACCCGTCTTTTATTATACCGTGCGACTTCGAATCACTTTCTGACTTGATTTAAGATTGTCTATCCGTCCGCCCATCTTCTTGTGTTCAACCTATAGGTAACAATTTTTGAGATAGTTTGATGAAATTTGATACCGATATGTTTTGGCGCAAAATAAACCTTTTTACGATTAAATGATCGACTTTTACGAGTTGAGCTCTCAAAAAAAAAACTAAAACACGTTAAAGAGCTATAATCGAGCTATCATTATATACGGCACAATACTTCGCTTTTGTACAATTCTTCACCAATTCTCATTATAAAATACCAAAAATTGCAACTTGTTGTTAAATGAAGGGTTACTTTACATAGGAAGCAATGCACTGCATCGAGTTCGAAAAGTAAACCGACATCGTATTTATATGTTGCATTACTACTCGGTTGACGGTGTTAACATAAGGCGCCGAATTGCTAGAGGAGCCTTCAACAGTTTGTATCAATTCTTGAAAGAGCCTAAGTTGATGAACAAACTCGAATTTTGCAAAAACTAAAAAAAATTGAGTTTTTCTCACTTAATCCGATGAACTATTGGTCGATGTATTGGTTACGTTCAAGCCAAATGTAAATCCTTTCTTTCACTATCTATTTAAATTTTGCTTTTATGACCGACAAAAAAAAAGATTAATTTCAACCCATTTTTTACAGTTAAAACCACCCTGCTTCTACCTTGCTTCTTTTTTTATACAGTACACTACTTGCGGTGCAAGGGTGTATTAAGCTCGTGCGGATATATGCAACACCCAGAAAGACTTGAGATAGACCCATCCTTAATTCTACCGATCGACTCAAAATCAGATTTGAGTGGACCTAAGTTTGGACCATCTGTGCGCCTGTCTGTCTTGTTATTCTATGTTTAAACTGCAGGCCGCAATTTTTAAGGCATTTTGATGACGTTTTTTGGTCCAAGAACGTAAGCTATTAAAAATGGCTCAGGGCGGTCCACTTTTCCGATCACCCGCCATATAAAGCCTTATTTTAAAAAGTCTTTATATTGAAAAAAAAATTTCTCGACAAAAGTCGCTGATACATCGCATACTACATCGATATTCTACAGCAGTGCGAAAAATATGGGTCGGGAGGGATCATTTTTCAATCCCCTCGTATAACTCTTCCTACCCTGAAAGCTGAGGGCCTTGAGACCCTTGTCTACATTTCACTTAAAGCGTCGAGTGATTTAAATCGCGCTTGACCGATAATATTACTCTTTTTATAGAAAATTAGGTTCAAAAATCTTTGCAACATAGTATCAGAATACAACTCTTAATAGAAAGTTAGTGACGTAGGCTATATTAAGAATACTCTAAATGTTGTATTCTGAAAGTGCACTCAATACATTTTTGATTGTATACATGCAGTTAATAAAATTATCTCTCAATTAATTACACATTCAGAGATGATAATTGTTTTTGTTTTTTTCCTGTTTACGAAGACAGACTTCAAATTCTTTAAACAATTATTGAATTGAATTAAAATTCATCAAATTAATTATCGGTTAACATTGATTGTCTAAAATTGTTAAACAACCAATGTTGTGGTTTACTAACTCGAAGCTGAGATTTCAATGACGCGCCCTCTTTTCGTAATAACTTGTAAGCGATAACATAAAAATTTTTACTTAAATACAAACGAGGAAAGCGATATGGTAGAAAAGTTGGAAACAGTGAAATTGTAAATAAAAAACCTATAAGAAAATGTTTGTTATAAGGCCGTCACTATTAACGAGGTTTGAAGAGGATCAACGAATCGCACAAACGACTTCTGTTGCTGTCTCATAAAAATAGCTGGGATCACATCAAAAAAAAAAAAAAAGAAAAGAAAACGACGCCATATGTTGTTTTGCGACTTTTTACAAGGCCTGTATGCAGAAGAATGCAGTGACAACGAACTTTTAGAAGACTGAGAAAGACTTTTGCGCCCCACCTATTTTCGCAAGGGGATATCAACAATTCCGTTCGCATAGTCAATGCTTCGATGTAACTGAGTAAGTTTTTAGTAACGCGAGTAAGCGCTTTTCGTAATTGGAATGCGGAATTTTCCTTAATATACCCCCGGGGAAGGCGATATAGAATTTCGTAATGATACCGACTTGGTTAGACCATAATTTCAGCGCATGTAAGTGGCGCTTATTTTTAGATTCTAGATAAGATAATCGCCGATACGAAAGAGATTCGAATCTTAGATCTAAAATTAAACCCGATTTATTTGCTAAAAATACGTTTGTTTTTTATGATAGAAAAAAACAAATTTTTTTTTTTATAGACCGGTGTAATTAAAATTATGCATTTGCCTTATTTCGCATTAGTTCTAATAAATGTTATGTTGCTGCTACTATTATTATTATTATTATTATTTGGAAAGTGCAATGTAATGTATGTAATCGCGTATTCTAATTTTTTTTTAACCTGTTTACAATATTTCCGGGATCACAGGTTCAAGGTACACTAATTTTCCATTTTGATTGCACCAATATATACGCAAACAGTTCTGCTTTTGTGCGGCTGATGATACGCGCCAAACGAGTCATATAACCGTGTAAAAAAGAAATTATATTTTTTCCATCTGTGCTAGATTTGAATCATGAAGAAAATGCTAAGCAAAAAGCAAAGTGAAGGGTGAATTAAAATTCCAAACAAAAATTCGTTATTGCACCCTGCACGTTCAAAAAGTCAGGTTAACATTTACGTGTCGACGTGAACACGGTAAAAATATCTATAAGAATTATATCAATATTATATGTAAGAACTGTATGCAACTGTACGCATCCGCTATTCAGAACAATAGTGAAAAGTTTATTCCAAACAGAATCTACCTTTGTGTTTGTAGTTATTTATGTTAGATTTCTTCTCTCCCCTCTCCTTCCTTGTTCGCTCGTCATCATCTTCCTCTCTCTCTCTCTCTCTCTCTCTTTCTCTCTTTCTCTCTATGTTCACTACTTTAAAAAAATATGTGATCTAGTTCTCTTTAGTGAATGAATATTAATGATATAATTATTTAGTATTCGGTCAAAACCTTGAACCATAGAAACGAGTACTTGCGCTGCCTCAATAAAAATCAAAGGAAAGATTTATTAACTTATTAACCTTCGTATATTGATAATAATATATATAGCAGATAGTATTTTTGTGCGATTTGGTGTCATTTCGTAGGTAATTGTGCCAACCACCCGCCACATACAGTTTGTGCGAATGTGTGCAACACCCATAATGACTAAAAATACACCCTGCTTTTATTATATCAACCACTCGTTATGAACCGCCGCAAGCTTGTCTGTCCATCTGTCCAATTTGTACTGTTGTGCAATTTTGAAAAGTCGTCATATGAATAACTGTGAGACGGTGGTCGGCGGTCTCAGTGTAGTGGTTTAATTTGTTCCTATTTACATATGATTTTTTTGGTAACACTAGGCGATTTCTTGAGTCGATTTAAATGATTCTCGAATCTGGCTTGGAGCAACAAATTAAAACTTGAAAAGTTCTACACTAAAAATCTCAACCTTTTTCAGCGTATAGATTGAAAGATCGAAGCAAGTTATCATTTCCTTCAAATAGTTACGGTAGAGTCAGTCCGCGCTGCAGAACCGCAGATTCAGCTGAATCAGCTCTCGAGTCTTTGGTAACTATTTGAAGGCTGACCTGACTGAAGTGTAGACAAAGTTATGAGGTCATAATAGCGATTTAATGAATCGGCAGACAGTTATACCTACACTTGCTTCGCCATTCGCGCGAATCAAGAATAATTCATACACTAGTCCACATTTTGTTCGGTATAGATATCTAAAAAAAAAAACAAATTTTTACATACAGCGTAGTAACGAAACCTTTGGATGGTTTGCGCCTGACATTTAATCGGATCGATCGGAAATGCTTTTCGTCCAAACAATTCAGGCTAATGGATGCAAATTCGTGATATATAGTTAGGTTTTCGTCCTTTTTCTATTTTCATTTCTTTTTAACTTCAGGAACTTCACAAATCAATGTTACTCAGTTATGCCCAAAAACAAAAACTAGTTAATAAAAATTTAACATTTCAATTCAAACATAATTTCGTAGAAATCAACAAAGTCGTCAAAAATATCTAAAATAGACATTATTTGTACTGTCCAAAGCGCAAATTCTGGACAAAGACAAATTAATAAAAGTTTTTCTATCCCTCAAG